ATCTTAGAGTGAAAGGTTTCTCAGATGCTGATTGGGCTGACTCTCTTTCTGATCGGAGATCAACCACTGGTTATTGTACTTTCTTAGGAGGTAATGTTATGTCATGAAAAAGTAAGAAATAACCCGTAATAGCAAGATCTAGTGCCGAGGTTGAGTATAGGGCAATGGCACATATGACGAGTGAGTTGACTTGTCTATTACACTTCCTCCAGCAAATTGGGTTTCTAGTTCAACTTCCTTTACAGTTGTTCTGTGACAACCAGACAGCTATTCATATCGTTGCCAATCCTGTATTTTACGAGAGAACCAAACATATTGAAGTTGATTGTCACTTTATTCGGGACAAGATAGTAGCTAGGGAGATTACAACTCCATTTGTGAAATCTGAAGATCAGCTTGCAGATATATTTACCAAAATATTGAGTCGTACACGTCTTACAACTATTTGTTTCAAGTTTGGATTATATGATATATATAGTCCAGCTTGAGGGGGAGTGTTAAGAATAGTAGGTAGTAGTATGTGTAAATTGTTAATAGTAAGAGGGTGTATGTGTAATTCTTATTATTGTAGGTTAACCATAAATACAAGTGATGTATGAGAGTTAGGTTAAAAGTTTTTGACCGCTCTCTGTTTCTCTCTAATATTATGTTAATTCTCCAAAGTTATCAAGAGGCAATAGTTGCGCAAGACATCCTTGATTTGCTCTAATGTGAAGGATAGATTATCAAATCGAATCCCAGAACTAATGCTTGAAAAAAAAGGTAATATTGTTGCTGTTTTCAAGCTATTACCATTATGGTGTAGACTTTTCAATGACCTAAATTACTGTAAACTATCTCCAATTTAACACCAAGATTTTGAACAATATGGCACCAAAAGCTTATGAAATGAATGGAAAATACTGTTGTTGAAAACTTGTTGAATTTCATTTTCGAATGTAATGCTTTCCATGCTGCTTGTGGAAGAAACTTTGCTCCATTGGTGGTGTGTATGTACATATTGTCAAGATAAGTACATTCGTGAACATTGATATCATTATTGAGTTCTCTTTTTAATTTCTCATACCAGGAGGAATTGTTTGAGATAAGAAATCCAACATGGAGCAGTGGACTCCTCACAATCTACCCTTAGACACAAGCAACTGATTTTGTCCATCGAATTTGCATGTTTACCAGCATTGGACTTCTATATCCTAGCACCATCACTTTCTCAAACCCCAGGATAGCAAGAGTGAAACAGGGCATGTTCAGACTCTAGACTTAGAGAGTTGATATTGCAATACATCTTGATCTAAACGCCAAACTTCAATTCAAACATCCAATTTCTGATTGGCTCGTGCACTGAGCTGCCTTAGTTTAAAGGTGAATAGATTGGGCCTGTTGTTTACGTCATTTAACAAGCAAATGTCCAAAAATTTAGTCAATTGGAGGAAAATCTGGCTTCATAATGAAGCATGTTTTAGGACCCCATGGCCTGTAATCTTGACCTAATCCACTACTATTGGTTGCTTATATTTTTGTTTATTGTGTTGGGAAGAGAGAGCTTGGGAGTCCAATACAGATACCATCATCAAATGGGCCTAACTACTCTTTGTTACTGTATTTTTTGCCTTGTAAGTCTTTATCACTCTAATTGCTCCAATGCATTGGTGTTTTGTTGTTAGATTTCTTATTGCATTATTGTGTGCAAAGTGATAATAAGGGGAGGGGATAGAGGAAAATTCTTGGTGATTGGATTTCTCTAACATGTCTGGATCTTTATATCTCTCGTTCGATTTCTTGTTGCAGTTTTGTCTGCAAGGAGATGATTCTGGGAGGGCATAGAGGAAAACGCTTGGTGATGCGATTTATCTAACATGATATTTGGATATATATGTCACTGCTAGATATTTCTAACAGCAGGTGAATTGCAGCAAACACTGGAAGCATTTGTCGCAATAGCAGCAGTGAGCCAGTTTCTGTATCTGGTGCTTTTGCATTCTGGCATGTTCAACAGCAGATATGGACCAGCCTACCGCAGCTATGACTATGAGGCTCCAGGCGACATTGGTATGGCACATGAACCCGGGAGGTCGGGCACTGCAGCTGAATATGAAACTATAACAAATGAACCTGCGAGGTTTGGCATTGCATCTGAATATGAAGCCACTGGAATGACACATGAACCTGATGAGAGGTTTGACGCTGAATATGAAGCCACAGGCATAACACATGAACCTGATAGTTCTGGTACTGCAGCTGTAGTCTACAAGTAGATATACAACTCTCATGCCCAAACTTTGTGTAAAGTGTAGGGAGAATTTGCAATGATCTACCATATTTAACCTGGGATAGCTGCACTAGAAGTATGTCAAAGCTTGTGTATATGTGTACATAAAATAGGTTAGAATAGGAGAGATTGGAGATAATAGAATAAAAGAAAATCGGGTTTGGCACATTGGGATTACAATGGCGGACCAAATGTCAATAGGCTAATGCTACATCTTGTGCATTATTTTCTAGTAGTCGTCTATGTAAAACTCATCTCTATTCATTGAGCGAGAAATAGATATTATGTTACTGTGTTTATTACTATCTATGCTTATAGGACTCTGGATATGCTGAATATTTTTTATTCCTGTCGTATAGAGGTACGGGGACAAGAATTCTACTTGTGCAAAGCAATCGCTATCAAGCTGTTGTACATAAGGTTATACATATGAAGAGATTTATCCACATCGAAAAATTAGGTAAATTTAAGGTTGATTCATATACTTGATGGGCCGCTTGACCTATACTCAATTGATTTTTGAATTAGATGTTCTAACATGGTATCAAAATTGAGCTTTGGGAGGCAAGTAAAAGTCTCCTAGTAAAATATTTTGGGTCTATTTGAAGTGTCATTTTAATCATAGTCAAATAATTTTGAATTGGCGGTCTTTACAATACATAACTGTTTTGTAAAAGGGCATATCATCTCTCATATTGTTCTAATTTAAAAGGATAAAGTTGTGCTGTACAATTTTTTTTATCAAATCTTGTATCTCAAGTGATGTATTAAAATTTTATGTATTGAATATTTAGTGGAGTTAATGGATCTTACTAATCCAACCTCATGCATTGATTTAAAATACAAAATTTAAGCAACAATTTAGTCACCATATTGCTCAATTTAAAATGGCAGGCGCCCTCGAAGGGGATGCTTTACCATTTGTCCAGGACATTTTTATTCTCATAGTGCACCATTGTAAACATTAATTGGTTTAAAAAGTGGAATAAATGGTCAAAAGCTTAGGTAAGAAGTGGTAAACAATGCATACGGGTTCTGCTAGTAGTATTTATAAATGGTCAAAAGATAGATAAGAGGTGATATTCAATGCACAAAGTTTATGTTAGTTGTGTTTGTATTGATTAGGGTAGGGCGTTCAAATTTCTAATTATTTGCAATCTTCGATTTTATCTTATCTAACCTGCTCTTACTGATTATTTAACCAAAAAAATCGGGTAAGCTAACAGAATCTTTTGGTATTTCGTAAAAAATCGGATAGTAATGCGGAATACTTACAAATTTTGATGTTTATAACTATATTGTTGTGTTTTATTATAATTGTTTATGTATTATCGAATTTATTATGTTTTTTTTAGTGTTATTGATTTATTGTGTTAGTTAATTAGTACAAGTTACTTAATTAAATTATTAAAATAATTCAAAAATTAATAACTAAAAAATATGTGTTGACTTGATTTCTTACCTGACTCCTTGCTTGATTATTTTGGATAGAATTCAAGTAAGAATAGTACACTTGATCAATTAGGATAGACTAAGAAAATTTTTTTCCGTAAAATATCAGGTAGGAAGATAGAATATTATAATTCCTACCAGTAGGGTAAGATGAACACCCATAATATTGGTATTTAAAAGAGGTAATCAGTAGGTAGTCTTATCTCTAACATATTCAAACTAGTCATAACCCATGCCTGAAGGCACGATAAAATATAAAATTTGAGTGCCAAAAAATTGATTCCACTATATTAAATTTTTTCAACATGTATATACAAATTAATCAAATATTAAATGATTAAACATATGATATAAATGAGTGATGTGATATTTTTAAGAGAAAAATATATAAATGATTAAACATGCGATAGAAATGAGTGATGTAATGTTTTTAAGGGGAAAAATATGTAGGAGATAAAAATTCAAGTTGCTATGTATTTTATTATATAGATTTGTACTCAGGTACATAAAGACTTGTCCGTCATTTTTAATGAAAACAAAATTTTTAAGTAATATTAATTAAGTAAAAATATGATAGATAAAAAAGTTAAAAATAGTTAGACTTAAAACTCTGCATACATTTTATAATGTAGGATATATTTATCCAAATTCCAGAGAAAAATCGCATTTCTTAAAAAAAAAAAAATGAGGATAACTAACTTTCTTACTATTGAATCTCTATTTTATAAGGTCAAGTTGAGATTCAATATTGCAACTATTTAATTTGAAATACACGTAAAAATATTCTATGCCATTGATTATTTATTTATTTATTATTATTATTACCAACATTATTATTTTGCTGAAATCTCACATATTGGACATTACTTTGTTGGAATCTTGAATTATCATTGACATAGACATTGCTTTGCTGGAATTATTGGGGTCAAAATCTAACAAAATTCTATTTTCTCAACCTTATGATCCTCCAACATATACATACAAAGATTATGTTGATGCATAGCATAATTCGTTATATTTCCAAAATTCTAAATTCTAACATTCATGATTCTTCTAGTTCAATTCAGGTCTCAAATGTCTCTTTACAAATTGGTTCAAAAAAAATTCTAATTGTTTTGTCATTCCTCAAAAACGAAATAATTTACGCTATTGTTCCACCATTTCCCTTTTGAAAACAATTGGGTAAATGGCTGCTGCTAGGTTTTATAGACCCATGCTTGCCATTTATCATGTATGTTTTTTTTGATGTCTAGAACAACTGTTGCATAGGCATCATATCGTACTTTCATAATGTTATAAGGTTCAAGTTCTTTACATGTATTATACGTACCACTCTGATAGACAGTTATGCCATCCCACTATGCAGGAAGCCCAATAATCATCGACAGCTGCATAATGCATCACAAAATAAGGATCATGTCGTCCAAACTTACTGGAATATGGAACACATGAAACATAACAAAAATTATTTCTCGTACGCCCCATCCTCAGATTATGGAGGGGTTCTTGACTGTGCCATGTTTGATGCCAACTCTGAACGAGTTCCTATACAGGTGTTCATATATCCGATATTGCTTAACGTTTTACATTATGAGTAAATCTTATATGGTCCAGCTAGACAGAACTCTAGATCAAACCAGAAGTTTTGGAACTGCCACTTCATGGCTATGGCTCAGATTCACCAGTACTCCATTCTACTATAGCAAGGGTGTGTCGGCCACCACAGGCAACAAGTTTCGCACACCAGCGTCCTTCAGCTTCACCGCCAATGGGGGGGAGGTTTATGGGCACCTCTGATGGATGACCAGTTGTCACCTTTCTTCCATATCCTAGACGGCCATGGTCACCTCGCCCGAACTGTCAGTACAAAACCAATTAGTCTACATGGATATTACCTAGGGATCTATGAATATATCATGCAAAAAAATTAAAAAAAAAATGACATTTTTAAATTGCTGAGACCTATCATGGGATCTCAGGTTTAACAGAAAACTAGAAAAGTCAAAAAATCAGGTAAGATACATCACACGCTGCAATGGTCAAAGTAAATTGCATCATTGATCAAAAGACAAAAAGATGGTCATTTAGTAGCATTTAACCCAAAATAAGGCGTCTTTATGATGTTTGGCTGGGGATATATGTAGCTGTTTTACCAGAGACTACTTATATTTTCTCTATGGTAAGACTAGTTGAATTTTAGCGGTTATTACAAGTTCCAATTGAGTTGTTTTACGTTCTGGTGTGTCTGTCTAGATGCCATATGGCTTGGTATGCGATGGGGAAACTAGTATGAGATCAGGCTAGGCTTTCCGAGGAGGCTTCTCCACCCTCGAAAAAGGGAACTCGAAAGGTTTGTATGCCATCCCCCCCCCCAACAACGACAAAAAAAAAAAAACCCCACCACCAATAAAGTGACCAATCCCTCTTGTAGTGATTATTACAAAGGCACTCCCGGGAATAATTCAGTGCTAAATGAAGACTGAATTACCCAGATATGCAATGATAGAAGGATTCCCTCAAAGCAATACTTAAGGGAAAAAAAACCTCTTCAAGTGATCACATTTCATTTTGATGGCATTCCCTTGAACTGATCAGGAGGTTGGTGTTCCAAAAAACGTTGAACCTTGAGGACAAGGTTTGTTGAATGGGGAGTGTCTATTTCATTACAAAACATTGACAACTCTTTTGGGTGTTAGTTTGAGGTGCTGCATGGTTCGGCATGCAGTGAAGAAACTAATTTGAAATGAGGGTAGTCTAGTTAGCTTGTGTCATACAGAATGGTATGCCTAGAGATCAGGCTAGGCTTGTAAAAGGTTACCACCCTCTTGAAGTGGCCAACTCTTCCGCTTCCTGATTTTTATATTTATCCTGAATCAGCGATCCTCTGCTGAGTTCTCAAGCCCAAAGGCCTCAGCATCCATTAATATATATTTCAAACACGATGAAATGGTTCAAAGAATGTCACAACACTCACAGAAAACATGCGACCATCCCGTGTTAATGCAACTGAGTGTGTGCCCCCACATGACACCTGCATCATGAATAAGAGTGTTTCAATTTTGAACTTCGGCAAGAAGCAAAAGTACTGAAAAGCATGAATGTTTCACTGGAGAGAGCACGATTGACATTTCATTGTGCTTTATTTAGCATTGTAAAGTACTGATTAATCCTCTTTCTGTATTGGTGTAGTAACGATTTATTCTTCAAAGGATTCACATCAAATGTAAATGGTTCGGCAGCAAAACCAACAGATATCACTATAATTGACATTAAGAAAGCAAAGGATCCAATATTTCTAACATACTTGAATAAAACCAATTTTAAAGCTCAATAGCATGAACCCATTTACAATGTTGAATAGAACACACAAAACATGTCCTAGATAATGATGCTCAAATTCACCAATTTTCTTGGCTTGGTTGCTGAGAATGCTAAGGCAAAGATTAAAAGAAAATGAATCTTGAGGTTCAATTATGTTGCTGTGCCAACATAGCAAAGGCAGAACGAACACCTCAACTAGCTGATATAGCAAAATTAGGCTCATTTGGTAACGGAGTTTATTTTCTTGTAACCAAAAAAGCATATATGATTGCATCATTTCACATTTCTGCTTTTGATTTAGGAACAAAGTGGAAGCTTACATGCAAAATCATGGTGGTATAAGTAACTAAAAATGTAGCAAGGCATTTGGACACAAAACAGAAATGATATCAATCATGTTCATGCCCCAGTATTTTCTATAGAATTTTTGTGTTTACCATCTCTTACGAATACCAAAGGAAACAAGTCTTATACATATAACATATAATACAGCTTTAGGACCGTAAGAAATAACTTCGGATCTTTATTATTATAATTGCTGATGACTTCAAATGTTATGACCGTCTTTCTGTGTAAGCCACCATTCCAAATAAAACATTTCTGCCTTCAGTTTGTTCAACAAGGAATAAAAAAACACTTGCTAATGCAATTTAAGGTATTCAGGTAGTTAACACAGCATAGTAATGCATATGGCACCTGAACAATGTCCTCCCCAACTAAAAGTTGAACTCTCTGGGGCAACATTTTACTGCTCTTGTCATCTCCAAATCCAAGCCTCCCATGTTCCCCTCTACCCCAACCATATACCTGTAATTAAGACAACCTAAATAAATATCATAAGATTCACAGATAACTAACTACATTAAGCATTGCAAATCCCAGCCACGCATAGAACACCACATTTAGAGTTTTGTGAAGCATATTCAACCAGAAGCAAATAAGCATTGCATTGAACACAAAAGGAACCCAGTCATACAGGATTAGTGAAAATAAACCAACATGTGGTCTTCTCACCTCCCTAGACGTCCAATCGTCCTTTTCGCCCACTCTTCTTCATATATTTCCTTTCACACACTCACCATTTTCCTCAGACGATAAAAATAAATAAATTATCAAGGTTTTCCCCCATCACTCACAAAAAAATTTTACAATCTGATTTGGTTTGTGAATTATAATTGAGAATTCCTTAAAAGAAAATTAAAATGTTTGTATGCCTAAACTTAAACTCAAATCCACGAACAAGGTAGGGTTCCAATTATTGCAAAATTAATACAAAGATAGATTCACTCTGAGAAATTCAGAAGGAGATACTTAGAACCTGCAAAACGAATTGGCTAGATTCCAGGATAACTTTGCAATTAAAATCTGACTCACACAGACCCAAAGAGGGAAGCTTAACAGGAGATTATCGAGACCTCGACCATAATTGGTTATGTGATAGCACCATAGCATCCGTCTTGTTCAAAAGCACTGTACATGGCAGAAAGATGGACAAGGACTATAAATTTCACACAACATAGTAAAGTCTGTTTCCCAACTTTGCCATGGAACTAATTTTTGCTTCTCATCTTAGAGGATATTGGCTCATAAAAGATGACATGACCCAAAACAACAGCTTAATCAGGCAAACAACTAATGACACAAGCAAGTCAGAGTTTCTCATTCCCCACTTCAAAGAATTAAAGAAAAGACTACGTAGACTAAACCCTAATGTACTTTAAGTGTGTGGATGAAGCTGCCACAAAACACTGCTGTTACCTGGAAAAGAAAGGCTGAAAACTAGCCAATTATACACAATAGTAGGACACTGACTCTCCATTAGACATAAGATGTGATATTGGTATTTACAGCACTATTCAGCTTCCTTAAACTAAAAACATTTCTCCAAGGGTCTTTTTAGAGTGTCATTCACTAAATAACTTATGTATGTTCCGTGCAAGTATCGATGACAACAACACAATAGAAATACCCTTACATCAACTCTTGAACAAATTAAAAGATGTTATACCTCTCCTTCATCCGTCAATGCAGTAGAATGCCAACCTCCAGCAGCAATGTCAACCTGGATGACAATGAATATAGAATGTATTCTCAAATCTCTTAAGAACAAAGATAAACTTATGGATCTAAAACTTCATAAAGCTAAGGTAAATTTAACTCAATAATGATGTAGATAGAAATACTATTTTTCCCCCAAGCCATAAAACATTATTTCATAAGTAAAGAATGACTTGAAATATTGTTGGTCTAAACTCACACAAATAGGAAAGACCAGTTTTCTCAAACCTTATAGTGCCTCTTTCTCATCTATTACGCTTATTCAATAGATGTGGTATAAAATCCTACATAAGCAACATAGTAGAGCAACTTTCACCCCCCTCCAAAACATAAAGTTATGAAACCCCTACTATTGGTCTAACAAGCCTGGTAGTTCTTGCTTACATTCATATTATGAGGACATCTAATGCAGCATCAGGCTGCTCTACAATTAGGTTTCCCACTTACATATTTGATAAATTTCTGATTTTCTCCCTGACATTTAAAATCAAATCGTACAAATCATTCAAGTGGTGATTTGGCATCGTGAGCAGAAGTCTTAGGGGGCTCGTTGAGAGAAAGAAGAACAAAAACTCTGAACCCTCTGAGATATCAGGTGTCCACATATACATGGTCAAAAGACGTGGAGTTTGAGGGAGAGGGGGTCTTTTTGGGGCTCAAGAGATGCAATAAACAGGGCGCCCACAAGTTTAGACATCACTTCTTTATCTTAAGTTATCTGGTTTTCTTCTGCTGTATGACCCTTACATTGACATGTCTTTCTACTCTAATGAAACTAAAATTTCTAACAAAAAATAATCAGAAAGTTCCGATTATGTGAATGATAACAAAAGATAGTTTACTGAATCTGTTAAGAAAATAATAAAAATATGCAAGAGAAAGCAGAAGTCCGCAACATACTACCCAACAAAGCAATATTTCAACAACGACACCACAATCATATGGAAAGAATAAAACCAAAATGTATGAAGTTGACATAATTTAAATGAGTTCGAAAATATAGCACCAGCTCAGAGACTACAAACCAAAGTACAATCTGACAGCCCTTGGACAGGAATAGGTTGCGATCTTGGCTGGGTATCACCTGTCCCAAGTTGTCCATATTCATTATTACCCCATGCCATTAAAATACCATCCTCTAGGAGAGCCAAATTATGAAAAGCTCCAACTGCAATTGTCCTCACTTTCTCAAGACCTTGTACGTGCACAGGAGTGGAAATTTGCTTTCTATGCAAAAATAAATAAATAATTAAAAACCTCAAAAACAAAGCTAATGCAGCACACTATCTGAAATTATAAAGAATAAACCAGAAGATTGTCCACAGTGTACCGAAGAAGCATGACGTGTTTCAAAGAAAAAAAATAAATCACTAAGTGAAATACATGTCTCCAGGAGGCCATGGTTGACCCCATGTCCACACATGTCCTTCATGTGTAAGCACCACCGAGTGTGTACCTCCAGCAGCTACCTATAATATGAGGGATTATAAGAATTGTCAATACCAATTTAGAGCTAGGCAAGTCACTTAACATTGAGAGGCATATATCCACAGCTCAAGAAGATGGAAGAGATGTCTTAAATATCCCACTCACTCACAACCAGGTATTATGAATCATTAGTAAAGGAAGTTTAAGCTATAAAAATTTGCTCCAAACAAAAGGAAGGAAAATCCCTAATATGAACAAGCATATATCATTCATGTTTCATAGTTATATCATTTGATAAAAATGTGTGTAATGAACCATATCCTTAAACAATTCTCCAAGTAAATAAATTTCACTGAATTTTCCCCTCAATAATTAACAGTTAGGAAGTTTAAGACCCGCAGCGCAACGCTGTTGCTTCTATTCTTACGCAACATAAAGAAACAAAAAACTTTTTGCATACTCATTTTCAATGACTAAACATTACTTAGAATAGTTCATCTATTTGTTTGACGATAAACAAAAGGAAAGGGAACAAAACCCAATCTGATCCAATTTCACCCAAGGCTATGCGCCAATATGATAAGTAATCACCTGGCGAACAGAAAGCTTTGGTGTGCATCGCTGCGGAATCACAATATCCCTCCTCAAAGGCCTACTGGTGTCATCTTTCCGCTCGGGCTCTTCACTGCACTGCCCATACTCATTTCCACCTAAACAACGAAATTTCTTGTCCTCACAAAAATGGCCAACGATGTTGGTTTCCTATCATTCTGCTATGTTTTAAACATAATGTCCGAAAAGAAAGAAAAAAAAAATGCAAAATCCTAGATAGCATTTGGGGAGCAAAAATTACTAAAAAGTATGGAGAAGTGTAAAAAGATTGATAAAGATTATACCCCAAGCATAAGCTCGGCCTTGATCATCGACAGCCAAACAATGCCACCCACCAATAGCAGCCTGAAATCAAGAACCCAACTCACCCGCCAATAATTTTTCACTATAACATTACCAATTGTCCGATACAGGACTTCAAGCGCACATATGAGATTACCTGAACAATTTTGACATTAGCAAGAGATTTAACTTGACTAGGAACGTTCTCCGTCTTGGTCTCAGATGGATGACCCAGAGTTCCTCTTTGATTCCAACCCCACGTAAACAACTGGGATACATATTCGAATGCAATAAACTCCAACAGTGAACAAATTAATGTTCATTTCACTCATAGCAATTAACTATGATCGAAGAACAGTTGAAGAAACTACACTCTTAACAATAGGAATACCTTGCCGTCTTCGCAAATGGCGAGAGAGTTTCGACTACCCCCAACTACAGAGCAGACCTTTTGGGACTCGAGAGCTTTGATAGCACAAACCCATTCTTTCTCTTCGTTGTTTCCAATTCCTAGCTGGCCATCTTCTCCTGAACCCCTGCGATGAAAAGCAAAAGTATAGCAGAGTGAGTTAGAAACAGTGTGTGTGTGTGTGTGAGAGAGAGAGAGAGAGAGAGAGAGAGAGAGAGAGGACCATGCGATAACGGTGGTTTCGGAAGCCATGGGGAAGATGTTAGAGAAAGACAGAGCGTGACGTAGAATGACCGAGAGGGGATGCTATTGTTTGTAAAGTCTCTCTCTCTCTCTCGCTCTCTCTCTGTGTGGCTAAACTGTATTATTTTGTGGTTATCGTCTCGAGTCTGAACATTGGACTGTCTAGTGTGGACAGTGCGAATCCGATTCGGAATTCCAATGGCATTAGCCATGTCCAAACTCCAAGGATAATTTTTTTTTTAGTTAAGAAAAGGGTCTATATTCAACCCTTGTTTAAATATAGTCTTAATATAATTACCATATGGTGTGGTAATACCTATTTCCTATATTCCACCCTTGTTTTCAATGATAAGGCACTAAATGATTACCATATTTCTGACAATGAAGACCGACTCGAGATGATTGGAGACCTAAAATGATGTATCTAAGTGAGGCCTTTAATAATTTTTAAAAGAATTTTTTTCACTTGAAAAATATTAATTAAATAAGTAATTATTTCTTGTAATACAAGCTTAATTGTTGTTGGTATGCTTTAAGCTTTCTACTGCAGCCAAAAACTTACCACTTTCATTTTGGTGGCTAGTCAGCAACTCCGTTTTTAGAAGCAAATCCTCTCTTTCCTGCTTTATTCTAGCTCTGGCCTCAATTATTGGTCTTGTCTCTCTCTATCTCTCACTCAATCCTCTATTGAGCTCATGAGTTTTCTCTCCTTGCTTGGGTTCTCTGAGTGGCCATAGTCTCTTTGGTTATTGCAAAGATGGCCAAGACACAATCGGGGAGAAAATCCTTGATTAGTATCCTAGGTGCCTCTTCATCCAAGTGTGCATCTAAGAAGGAGAAGGGGAAGGGGAAGAAGAAGAGGACTGAGTCGGAATCCGAGGAGGACGAAGACAATGTCCCTTCCACACTCAAGAAGGAATGGCCTACAAACCCTAAGGAGAGAAGTGAGCATGCCTTGAAGGTTTTGACTTGGCTCATGGTTGCTAAGACATTGGAGCCAAAGAAAGGGTATTCTGTGTTGGAGGCCACCTAGTCTCATGATGAAAAACTTGAGTTTGCAGGCACCAATTTTCATTATCCAATTATCCTCTCAAATTCTGTTGATCAAGTTGCAAGTTGATTGTAGTTGTCTAGATTAGGAGTTTTAGATCGAGTCTAGTAGTTTTTGTCTAAGTCTAGTAGAAAAATCTTTAGGAGTATAGGCTTAATTTTGCGTTGACTTGTACTTAAAAGACTATGACTAGTATGAATGAACATATCATTTGAACCTAATGGTTGAGTTCCCTTGGGCTTATGATTTATAGTTCAATTTCTTTGTAATTGCTATGGTTCGTGAAGAAATTGGTTGTGATCCATCTATGTTCTCTAGTTGGTGTTTGCTAGGGACCAGCAAAACTTAAGTTGGGGGGTGTGATGAGCACTCAATATTGAATTATTGTATAGCTTCACACTTTCGCTTTAGGCTTGCTAACAAACTAACTCATTACAACAATTATAGGCTTTAGTGACAAATTTTTTAGTGATCAAGTTATTTTCGTCATTAATAATTTTAGCGATGACATGTGAATTTATCACTAATGTTCAAGGATGAGTGACGACAATACTATTTGTCACAAAAAGTTAACTTTTAGTGATGAATAATTGTTCGTCATCGTAACTTCGTCATTGAAAGTATAAGAAATTGGATAAATAGAGATGAATTTTATTGTTGGCACTCAAAATGGTAAACAATTACCTTAGTAACGAGACTAGTCGCCTCTGAAAGTTTCAAGGTTTTGGTATGACTTTGATATTGTCACTAAAACACTAATGGATTTAGTAGTGACTTTGATGTCATCACTAGAACTTTCATAGTTTCAGTGACAATATTGGTGTTGTTATTAAAACTTTTATACTTTTAGTGATGATTGTCAAGTCGTCACTAAAAAAATCATATTTTTAGTAACTAAATTAATTATGTCACTAAAATTAATTTAGTTTATGTCATTATATTGGTGTTGTCAAGTGACTTATTTTATATCGTTTGGAAAATTTCAAATTATAGCATATTGATAAGCCAATTCTCACATCGCCTCCTAGCCTGAAAAAATACAAAACATAACACTCTTGTTATTTCTAGACTAAACTATACCTTAATTAAGCTTGTTAACAAAAATGTAATTTAAATATCAATACTCATGCCGCAAACCTAGCTAGTATAGTGGTGTAAGGCAAGTTGAAGTCAACTCGAGTTAAATCAAAATTTTTAAAACTCTCAAACCGAGCTTAATTCGAAATTTTCAATTAAAGTGTCATTCATGGTTAAATTTTGAAATTGGATGATATGCAAGTAAGGGTGAAATTTGAATCAAAATTGACTTCAATTGAGGTTTGATTTTGAGGCAGATAACATGGACAAAAATTCAAGTTGACATCCAATTTAATTCAAGTTTGAATCTCAAGTTACGCAACTAGGGCATAAATTTGATTTTAATTGGGTTGGATCCTAAAAAGTAGAGACATAAATTGAGTGTTGTTTGAATTTAAATTGGGTCGATAATTGTTTATCCAAACTTTGCTTAATATTGAGTTTTTTTTGGGTTGACTTGCGTTGGATATCAAATTGACCCATCAAGTTTTAATTTTATTTGAAGTTTCACCTTTCATGAACCATCACCAAATCTAAGGGGGTGTGACTCGATTTATGTTGGGTCTTGTTCGGGTCATTTTATATCGCGTTCATGTCAAGTATTAGACAATTATAACTTAGCCAATTTAATTAATTGTGTCAAATATTTAAATACTAACCAGACAACCCATGAATTAATTGAGTTAAGTATTGTGTAACTTTCGAGTTGACCCATATAACCCATGAATTAAAAATATTTTTTGGGCATTTTAAAAAAATTTAGATTTTATCACACATCTATATAATTAGAGACAACATGATTTGAATTCCCAACTTATAAATTTTTTTTGAACATTCTACATTGTTTCAAAATTATTGATATAACCAATAATATTTACCCTTAAAATATTTTATTTTTGAGTCCTTCAATCATGCCATCTGATCCTATAGTTCTTATCGCTTAAAATCTCTTCCACTATTTTTTCAGTATCTTATTAATATAATCATATCCCCTATTTTTAAATCAAAATCCCTAAAACCCTATCAGTAAAGCCCTCCCTCTATTATTCCACATCGCCAGCCGGCACAGTCACTGGTTTGACTCCCCCTCCCTTTCTCTCTCTCCATCCCATAACGCCTAGTGAAATCTCTCTCTTCCTGCCCTTTGCCTTTTCTTTCTTTTTTTCCTTCACTCCTCACTCACGGGCTACCCATCTCAAAGTTTTGTAGGGGTTAACGTTAAAAGGTATGTTTTTCTTTTGTCTTACATAGAATAGTTTTGTTTTGATTCTTTGTACATGTAAGGGGTAGAACCCTCCACTCAGGATTTCGGCTGACCTCCGCGCGTTCGGGAGTAGCCTTTACCCCTCTTCCTGAGCCGGAGCCCTGGCCTAGCCTAATGTGGGGAGGGCGCACCGTATCCCACATCGGAAGAGAGTCGTCTTCCCCCCTCGCATATAAGCCCTTGCACTCAAAGGAGGAGGTACCCACTAGTACCTGATCAGGTGCCTAGTGGGTACCTCCTCCTTTGAGTGCAAGGGCTTATATGCGAGGGGGGAAGACGACTCTCTTCCGATGTGGGATACGGTGCGCCCTCCCCACATTAGGCTAGGCCAGGGCTCCGGCTCAGGAAGAGGGGTAAAGGCTACTCCCGAACGCGCGGAGGTCAGCCGAAATCCTGAGTGGAGGGTTCTACCCCTTACAAAAAGGCGCCTTTTTGTAAGGGGTAGAACCCTCCACTCAGGATTTCGGCTTGACCTGGATTAACCCACGCGGGCGACCCCCCAGTAGCCTTTACCTCTCTTCGCCAATAGGACCCTTTCCTAAGGCAATCCCACATCGGAAGAGAGTCGTCTTCCCCCCTCGCATATAAGCCCTTGCACTCAAAGGAGGAGGTACCCACTAGGCACCTGATCAATCTGTGCCTCGCCTGTCACCTTGTATTTCCCTGACCCCGAGGGACCAGCCGATGGATTCTCGGGAACAGGGCGACGACGAGGCATCTCTAAAAGAAAGGGAAGAAAAAGGTGTTCTCTCTTGAAAACCCGAGGAAGTTCCCCGAGGGTTTAAATCGAGACGTACCGACCAGATGACACCACTGTTCAAATCGGAAAACAAGAAGGCTAGGAGGACGATAAAGAAGAAGGTTGTGAAACTCACCAGAAGACGTCGGAAACGGAGTTTTTTTTCAGGAAAAACTTTGAAAAATGGCTCGCACCGGAAGGACCAGGAGTCAACAATGGGTTTTACTGGCTGAGGTTTTAAAGAGAAGGTGCTGTCAACGATGGCTGAGGAAACAAAAACTCCGGCGAGCAGATCAGAAAGGGCGTATTCTGGGTCAGAGATCGGAATGGCAAAACGAAGGAAACCGGAGAAGAACCCCCTTTATATAGGGGGGAAACTGTCATCATTGGGCGGGAGAACCAAAAACAGCGCATTTAATGCGCACGACATCCCAAGACAGGGAAAGCTGCTCGAGGCCATAATGAAGGACGGATGGCAGTTGGAAAAACCCTTCGTCTCCTGACAAACGCGTGTCCTCGGTGTCAGAAGATCGAAGGCTGGGGGGCAGTTGATGGGACTCTTCTGAAAAGCCTATGATGAAGACACGTGTCCTCGGGGTTTTTAGAACAATGTTGCTCGGGTTCGAGCACCATCGGCAAAGGCGTCCTCTCCCCCGAGGTACCTCTCATATAGGATCACATATTCGGTACATTATACAATGACATGTGTCCTCGGTCACCATGTACCTCGGGAACACACCACCCCTTGGTCCCGAGGTGAGCCTTTCCTCGGCGCCGAGGGTCACTCCATCCTGGACGCTTCCTCTACTCCCGGATAAGGCTACTGACATACTGGACATCAGCCTATGCCAGTATGGATTAGTCATCATGACCTCTTCTTACACAAGTAATGTCAGAACGTGCTGGAATACCGACGTAACAACCAATAAGGGATGGACGCGTGGCAAATAATGTCACATCCGAAGCAGACAAACCGCATGCCGCTGCTGGCACGCGACTTGGGAAAGCAAACAATTAATTGCACCCTTCTGTTGACGAGACCGCATTTAATGCGGTA